ATTTTTTATCATTGTATTCTATAATTGTTGACCGTTGATGTGTCTTATATTCAGTCAATGTACATGTACAGTCACAAAAAAAATGTATCCTCACACTTCTGAGGTGGAAACCTTTGGCTTCTGTTGGAAAGTGCTGTAGACCAGCGAGAACAAAGCTCAAATGCCACTTCTGATGCGATGGTAGAAGTGGATAAATACCTTACAGAGACAAACATACAAAGAGCTGAAGATCCACTTGAATACTGGAGAATGCAGAAACATGTCTACCCCCATCTATATACATTGGCATTACAGAATAATTAAAATCTTTATCACCTTTCTGTCATTCCTACAGTTACATAAGCACTATCACTGCCAAGTGTCAGATGAACAGATGATCCTATCACACAATGTCCTTATTCACTATATGTGTGTGTGTGTGTGTGTGTGTGTGTGAGTGTGAGTGTGTGTGTGTGTGTGTGTGTGTGTGTGTGTGTGTGTGTGTGTGTGTGTGTGTGTGTGTGTGTGTGTGTGTGTGTGTGTGGAGAGAGAGAGTAGGCCTACATTAGATCTTATTAAATCATATGCTCATTTTATATTTTATTGTCACACTTTAATGGGTAAAATAATTTATTTATTAATGGACAAATCAAACACAAACGTGTAAGGCTTTTTATTTCTACACATAACATTGAAATTATGGAGTGTGTTGTGGTTGCTTCATCTGACAGAGCTTTTAACACAGGCTTCTGGCTGCTTTATTTTAAATAAGCACCAGATGGCGCTGTTCTCGACACTCTCGAAGCTTTGAATCTTTTCTCGGAACAGTCAGGGGAAAGCCTCATTGATTCACGAGGCTTCATTTCCCCATCTCTATTAAACAGGATTCAGACGAAGTACTCACAGGACTGTCACAGAGAATAACACGCAATGATTGACAATGTACCGACACGGAACAGAAACCATGAGGGGATAAAATAGGGAGCAAACTAATCAGGAACACAGGTGAAAGCGATGACATGATGAGATAACAAGGGGGCGGGGTAGGGTGACAAGACAACGCAAGCACACAGCCCAAACAAATGGCCATGTGCTTACACATAAAACATGAGTCTGTCATGATCCTGCCTCAAGACAAGAGAAGATCTGGGAAACGAAGGCAGAATCATGACAGTTATTAACGTACTGTAATTCTTACATTTTTATCCTATTACAAGTATTGTGTATACAGCACCATATCACTATGATCAGAGGATTCAAGGTGTGTGTATTCCTATAAAACAGATTTCTTTTTTTAGTTTTTACTAGTGATGGGATGGTTGATACCGGGGCTCCGATGCTCCGACGCAGTTTTCAAAGCACTATTGTATCACACACTATACCGATGCTTGTAACGAAATGACAATATAATGTGATTGATGACGTTTAAAGCTCCAAACATCATGCAGTATTGGAAGGTCAGGGCAGCTGGTTTGAAAAAATTGGTGCTTCGCGACCCCACCTGATGCATACCCAGACAGCAACATAGTGTCGGCCCAGATCCGGCCCATTTCTGGTACACATGGATTCCACAAGTACCATATGTGGGCCGGATCTGGGCCAACACTATGTTGCGGTCTGGGTAAAAGGGAAATTATTATCCCGTAGAGGTCTGCTACCCGACCCGAGCCCGACAGGTCCCGAAAAAACTCTCGAGGAATGTGTGACTGTTACACCTGTTCAACCACACCAAAGTTTCGTAATTGGTAAGTCCGTGCTTTTTCTCTTTTTTTTCTTGTGTGCTGACTGCTGAGGGGGCCGCTGTGCCTTGGTGAAACTGTGTTTGTACATGTATTTGTTTAATTATTGTTGCAAGCAATCGTAAAATACAGCATATTGCAAAAGCAAAAGGTATTAACTGTGAGAAATATGGACCTCAGGTTCGGTTCGGGCTTAAAATAAAACCGTAATGGTCGGGTCGGGTTGAATGATTTCGGGTAAGGGCCAGGTTCAGGCTTCAGTTTAAAGCCAGTGCAGACCTCTATTATCCCGTCACTTCGAGGGCTATCAGTAGGATTCAGTAGAAAAATCCAGACAGAAACTGAATGCACATCACACCTTTTTGATCATGTTTTATAGCTGGAGTCTCAGAGACACCGAACAGAACATAAGGGGTTAAACAGCTCACACAAAATATTTGTTCAACTACTCACGACAATTATTAATTATGATCACATACTTTATATATAAAATGTAGCATCCCATTAACTGACAATCATAGAAACATTCACCACACTATCTAGATAGTCAGCTTGCTGATGATTGTGGAATTTTAGTCTTGGTATGTTTGTCAGGCCACAAAGAAATATAGAGCTGAGTATCATCAGCCTAACAGTGAAAACTACTGCCATGCTTCCTAATGATATCTCCCAAGGGTAGCATGTACAGAGTGAAAAGCAACGGTCCTGGTACTGAGCCTTGCGGTACTCCACTTGTGATCGATATGATACCTCTTCATTTACTGCTATTTAAACCATGCCAATGTAGTTCCACTGATGCCAACATCATTTTCAAGTCTATTCAAAAGAATGTTGGGGTCGATAGTATCAAATGTGGCACTAAGGTCCAGTAACACTAATAGAGAGATACAACCACGATCGGATGATATGAGAAAATCATTTGTAACTCTAATGAGAACAGTCTCAGTACTATGGTACGGTCTAAATCCTGACTGGAAATCCTTGCCGATTCCATTTCTTTCTAAGAAGGATCACAGTTGTGAGGATACTGCCTTTTCTAGTATCTTTGACAGAAAATGGAGATTAAAGATCGGTCTGTAATTAACTAATTCTGTAGGATAAAGTTGTGGGTGTTTTTTTAATGAGAGGTTTAATAACAACCAGCTTGAAAATATTTGGTATGTATCCTAATAACAATGATGAATTAATAATATTAAGAGGATCTATAACTTCTGGAAGCATCTCTTTCATTATCTTAATCGGTATAGGGTCTAATATACATGTTGTTGATTTGAATGATTTAACAAGTTTAGACAATTCTTCATCTCCTATAGCAAAGAATGAATGGAACTGTTTCTCAGGGGATCTATACCACAATGTCTGATGTGATACCGTAGTAGACGGTTGCATGGTTATAATTTTCTCTCTGATAGTATCAATCTTGCAAGTAAAAAAAAACAAAAAAGTCCTTACTGCTGTGCTGTTTGGAAATGTCTGAACCTATTGCAGCTTTATTTCTCATATTTTATTTAAGGATTCTTTATTTACTGTAATTATTTTATAATTAATTTAGCCACTGTATCAAATAAATACCTAGGGTTGTGCTTGTTTTCTTCTAAGAAAGTCAAAAAGATTCTTAAAACTTAAAAAAAAAAAAAAAACTCCTTTACCAGGCTTGCATTTTTATAGTTTATATTCTAATGCATTTTCAGTTATATATAAAAAAAATTATGGAGCTGTTTTATTACCCATTTTGACTATTTTTGATTAGAAGTCCATGTCAATTAATTTAATAACACTTTTTATAAATCATTGTTTTTAGCAAATGGAGTACAGTTTTTATTACCTTTTTTGTGGAAGAATTATATATACAGACCCCATAATGTGTATTATAGTAAATAGGCTCCATAATGATTTTGTGATGATTTAAAAAGGTGGTGAATAAGTTCAAACAGATCATCATCATTCATTAAAGAAAAAGGAGAAAAAAGAAAATTAAATGTCTTTATATTAAAACAGGAGAGAGAATCACATGTATAATCAGTGACTTTGGGCCTGCAAACATTAAGACAATAAAAAGTTGTATAAAATACTCAGCAGTACAATGTTTTGGAATAATTTCTTTATAAATGACTGTTTTTGATTAGTGACACCAAAAAGAACAGAGCAACATCATGCTAGACTAATCATTTAAAACCAACAATAATATTTACATTATTAATTTCCTGTACACGTGTTTTGCTGGGGGAATTACAGATTGATTTGAAATGTCTTTAACAAACCGATTTTTCACCCAAAAGTTGGTTTGTTTGTTACCACATTCAGGGCAACAATGACCTCCATTTGTTTTCACAGTACTGAGAATTTGTCACATTATTAATGAAATAAATAGAAGCTACAGTCGCAATTGCTACTGCATGTCGGTTGCATAATTGCTGTGAGTGAGCAGAATCCTGCCTCCCTGAATACTGCTGTAGTGTTCCAGAAAGAGATGGTGAAAGAGAGACGCTTTACAGCGGCAGGAGAATGTGGCGTTATACAGATTTTACAGCCCTGAATGATGTGATTGGGTACAAACACTGTCATTAAAGGGGCCTATTATCGGGGTACCCTAACCTATACCCAGGGTACCCTAACCCTAACTTATAATGCATGTCGAGGTTTTTTTCCTACTACACTTTTGTCTTCAATGTAAACATCTCTTCACGTGAAATGAGTAAAATGACTGTGTCTGCTGTGGGTTCAATCTACTTTTTAACTGCTCCATCCTTCAATAACAGCCTCTTTGTGAAGATGCATCAGATCAACAGATTCATAAATCAATAAATCATAAGTCGCTCAGACTGAAGTTATCAGGGATCTTGTTGAAAAACATGAGCTGCTTGTTTCTAACCACAGCACAAGCTTTTATACACTTAACCACATTTTACTCTCATTGTAATTGCTGCTGGTGATCAGACTGTTAGACATCATGACTGGCTAGCGCAAGTCTCCAAACACTGAGTTGGCGTTATTAACGTGTTCATGCATTGATGTTCACATCAGAAAGTTGAAGGGCAGAACGAGTTGTTTTCACAGCATGGGGTTAAAATAAACTCTCCAGCTCTCCATTCCTCACATTAAGCCACAAAAATAAAAATATGAAGATAAACACAATGTGTCAGTGCAGTTTCACTGCAAATGGAAAATTGTGTTTAACACAAATGTAAAATACATTTGCACAAGTGGTAAAAATGTCTGGCAAGTCAATTTTCCAAATTCATCCACTATTGGCAGACGTTATTGTTGGACCCTGGATCTGTG